TATATATATATTATTTTAACTTTGGGATCAATAAATATTTTGAATTGAATTAAATTGAATTGATAAGTCTTGTTTCATCTAATATAAAATATTTATTCTTCTGTGCCATGTTTAATTCCCCTCCAGTCAAGACAACCTAACTCTGCTGCAGATCCAACAGTTTCAACATCAACACAGACGTAAGGAGAAAACTGTAAAGAGTGAAGTGGGACTTCAGCATAAATAATAAGCCTTATAAGCTGTTTGTCAACTCAGTTTGTGTGTAATTAATGAGTCAAGGAGTAACTGCAACTGAGAGTGCAGTAGCTGCTTAGTCTTTGAGGTGTGGTAAAAGCCTTCACTCAGACATTAAATAAATGTCATTGTGGCAAATGAAAAAAACCCTACACTCTTATTTCTTCAGCTTTGCCCTATTCAAAACAAGTAGAATCTCAAGTGGCACACATACCAGCTGTGTTGTCCAGTGTTTCTGCACCAACGCTGATATCATTTTCTTGAGAAAATGAAGCACCGACAACAGGAAACCACCAGGTTTCTCTGAATGACTCTGCAGATGTGACCTAGTAATTTCTCAGCGAGGTTTTTGGTCAAACGAGATGAAATAGCATCCTGGTTCTGATGACTAGGGGTCTGTGTGTCTGAGCTGTGTGGGATTGTACAGCTACAACTGAGCTCTACAGAATAACTGAGCTCTACAGATTAATGGGATTTCTGGGTTTTGTAACATCTCTGAATGTTATCCACAACATCGGAACGTTCTCCTAACTAAGGCCGCAAGATCTTGGAGAAAATTTTGTGAACTTCTGTAAATTTCATAAGTGACGTGACAACAATAGTATCGTTTATCGCAGTAATTTCTGAGACACTTCATCATCCAGCAAAATTTATTCTGACAAGCCTAGCAGGGACCTGAGTACTGTTCCTTCTATTGTGTGCAAACCATCTAACATGTTGCCTCTTTATCTATCTTCATGTCTGTTTCTCTCACACTTTAATATGAGCATTTGACCTATTTTCCTTTCAGTTCTCTGTGAATTTGCTCATCTGCCTCGTTTCGTTCAAGATCGTCGTCTTCCTCCACAGCTCGAGAATTCACCGACAACACTTCTCCGAAAACGTTGCTAATTATTGTCACAGAAGTTTCACAACGAAATAAAAGTTTTAGTTTTTTTTTTAAACAAAGCCACCCAGAACCCGTCAAAATAAAGGCCATAACCATTTAAATGCAAGGACTTATTGTTTAGTGGTTTAGTCCCAAGATAACACGTTGATTTTATTTGCCTCCTGCAGTGTGACGTACACGTACCTTGCCATGATGATCGATATGTCGTGCAGCTCTACTCCTAACTCAACGTAAAGTTTATGATTTGCAGTAGCATCCCACAGTGACACTTCTGGACCTTAAGCGTGGCTCTGGTTCAGTGTCTCCACTGATTTAAAAGGAGAGGCCGAGGGTCTTTCTGTGTTCAGGGAACTTGAAGGCTCGACTGTCCCAGAACAGATAAAAACTTTTCAGGTGAGACGTTATTTCACTTCTACAGCTGCTAATAGYTTTACCTTTGTGATGTGTGTTTCCTCGCAGCTAAAGATCTGATCCAACAGCTGCTGAAAACAGACCCTAATGAGAGAATGACTATCACTCAGTTTATGAACCACCCCTGGCTCAACGTGAGTACCTGTGTGTGCAAACAGTTTAATTATTTCTTTGACCTGTTCCTCTCATTGCCTAAACGTGGACGTGTGTGTGTGTGTGTGTGTGTGTGTGTGTGTGTGTGTGTG